CGCTAGTTAGCTAAATAGTTAGCCTCGGTGATGTTCTTATAACGTTCAACTGTTGCGATCATTTATCACGCACAAGTTTAATGTGACGGCAAAAAACAATATGCAAATGTTTCAGCAGGAATGTTTAGTTTTGCCTGTTAGCATGCTAGCATTTACAAATTAAACAAGCTAGCTGTTTCGCAATTTTAATTGGATCAGTTAATGAATCAAGCAGCTATAATCCATCCAGAGGCAGGCATGAATGTGGACCAACTTTCAGGGCAATTAATTAGTTTTTTTATGTATTATGTAAAAAATAGACGTACCCAAGAGTTTTGTTATTAATTACAATATAAAGAAAAGTAATAAATGTCCACATAGGAAAACATAGATTATTCATAGAATTATCTAAATCGTTCCTGATTTATTCCCTGTCAGTTGACGAACCAACTAATGGAGCAATCAGCTAACTATTTACAGCATGAGGAGGGCAGTAAACGCAGAGTGGACACACAGAGTTTATTGGTAGATTAAATTCCATCCTGCATTCTTCCTGATCTCCGCTCCGTTGCATGTCAGGCAGAGGATGTTAGATATGCTTTCAAATCCCTCTTCAGACACATTCGGCGGTGGTCACAGTAAAAACCCTTCCTGGAACCCGGCCAGGACGTCCACTGCACACCAACACACACACACAGTCCTGCAGTCCGGTTCAAAAACAAGACCTCCGAGGAACGAGATGTACCATCGACGCATTCATGCCTTCCATCTGTTTCTGCGTTTCACAGAGCTGCTGTGTCGCCACGGATTTGGGGGGGGGTTTCCATTCATTCAGGCTGCAGATGCATCCGAGCATCCCCACATGTGCACACTAACGTGGTTAAGAGATGTTCTGGTTTAGTTAAGAAGCTCTGAGAAGCAATTTACCCTGAAATCCTCGGAGACTTATTTCCATGACATTAGCATCCGACCTTTTAATGGATGAACTGAGAAAGACGCTCACATTGACATGAGGAATAAAGACCCTCACAAAAGGCACGGGGAAACCTGATAGAGTCCAACAATGCATGCACACCAACAATGAGCCTCATTCAGTCCTGCAGCACACTTCACTCAATGCATCAGACTGTTTGCAAAAAGGATGAGGAGGAAACAATCTCGCTGTTTCGCTCCCACATCTGGAAATCATAAAGCGTAGCTTAGCTGCAGTGCTAGGCTAACGGGAGGTCGTTCAGGAAGAAGCTAAGGCTCATTAGTGGTTTCTTCCCGCTGTTGGCTCCGGGTCGGAGTCCGAAAAATCAGGCCGGCCTCACATGTAACTGTACAACGTTTAGATTCCCATTAAGCCTGCTTAAAATAGTTCTGGCTTTCATGGCGGAGACTTTTATGGAAAGAAAAATTGAAAAATGTGAGGGGAGACATCAATATTCTAGCAAAATATAGTTGAGAAATGGTTTAAATTTGTGCAGGAGGCTCCAGATTTCTGGGGATGTCGTGCACCATTTCTCGCCTTCGAAAGATTCCTTCAATGAAATTAATAAAGATTCCTCTTTTAGTTGCAAAGTCAACCAATTCAGCCAACTTTTAGTGCTCCACTAACGCAGCTGGATACGTCTAGCTGCCATAACATCCTCCAGAATATGTCAGCGGTCCAGTTGCTTGCATTCTCGTGTGCCAATTAAGGGTGTGAAACCGCAAAAGAGCGAGTTAAAGCTGGACTATATGTCATAACCCCGCTAAGACGGAGACGCGTAAACTTCCTGCAATAGCTGCGTGTGAACATGCATGGGGGGGTTTTTTTTTGGCCTGGAATGTGTTGTCGAAAAAAAAATAGACATCTTCCTGGAGGAGAGACGGACGTTTGAGGCTCATGGATCAACACGGAGTGGATTCGCTGAATTGGAGCCAAGTCAACCTGTGCGAGGCGGGTTGTTTTTTTTCCCCTCCTCTTAGAAATTCAACTTCTTTCCTACACAGTCTCTCACAACCTCCCATTATCACGCTGACCTCACGGATTAGCTAACATGGTTATAACACAAGATCGGAAGCCAGAGCAGCAGAGAACATGACGGATGCCAATTTTCTGAGGGAGTTCGCCGCCGACTGGAAAGAACGGCCCCCTTGCGTGAGCGTCCTCTCTGTCGAGGGGCATCGCCCGTGAGGAATGAAATGTGACAACGGCTGTCGGGGCTCGTTTGAGAGGACCGGTTGCCAGTCAGCCGTGGACGGAGCTCCGGTACGAGGGGTGAATGATTAGAGAGGCCGTCCTGTACCGAGCAGGGTCACGGGGGGAGCAGATAAGCTGCACTTATCAGCTCAATAAGTCATATTAGAAACACAGGGCTTCATTGTGCCAGCTGTTTCGCCTACATCTGGCCTGCAGATTGTCGGCTGTGACTTTTTCTGGGATCTTTTTGGCAAGCGAGCATCCATCTGTCCTCTGTTGTTGCAGCATGTTGTTTGCTTTCTTTTTATAAATAAATATGGACGCCAATTTTAATAGCTGTTTTCAAAATCCCTCAAAGCAAGACACTTTGGAAACTGCCTTCCAAGCAGGTGCCTTGAGTTCATTCATAAACACTTGATTTCCTCCCCGTCTGTCAAAAACCGCCCAATTAAAAGCAAGCAAAGACGAGCACCAAGGTTGGAGAGACGGTGCCATGTGTGGGTGCTCTCCACATGCAGGTCAGTGGGCCGTCCTCTGACGTATCCCAATTAGATTAGGTCCCTCTCACAAGTCCAGACTTAATCACCAAAAGCACAGTTCTGCCATCTCCCATTAGACACCTGTAGTGCAGAAGGCCTCAGACGGGAAGGAGGGGGGACGAAGACACAAGTCGGAAAACATCTGCGACCGTGGAGCTGGTTCACCTACTCGCACCTTCGAAACCCATTAGTCTGCATGTTCTCCGACGAAACAATTCCAGGAACCGATCTCCAAACACAATCCCTTCTCACCAGCCAACATCTTAATGTCAATGGAGCGAGTGGGTTGTGTGGTTTTGACGGTAACCAGAATTGACGTTGGGAAATATACTTAACGTTCCCGCGTGACACGAGGGGAGGCAGATTGGGTTTCCCCCACACCGGGTGGTTGGAAAAGTGGCTAAACGCGTGGTTTACACTCCTCGACTCACACTGGGATTAAAGGAGAATTGAGGTTTAAATAATAGCTTATGCACCCAGACACAAAACCCAACCTGTTGTGTCCTGATTAGGGCCATTTCAATTAGTCCAGCAGTGATTAGACTCAGCCCAATCTGGCTTGATAGCAGGTGAAACTCACATCTTTCTGTTCGATTTCCTAATGCACTTTGTCAACCCCCATTTGGCCCGAGACAAGAAAGACCTCATCTATGTCGAATAGTTCAGAGCCACGCTGAAACATGCCTGTGTGGTCATACTGCATGAGTCTCGGATTGAATTTAATTGACACCCGTGCAGCGGTTGAATCAATAAATCTTGCCGTCACATGGGACTGGATCTATAAATCTAAATCCATACAGGAGGAAAATAGAAAGTCTTTTCCTTGCTGGGTAATTTCTGCCTCGTCCTTGACACATCAGCTTCTTCTCTCCTCTAGCTGCTGCTAGTAAAACAAATTCCTCCACATTTTACTGCGCTTTGTGATCAAACTGAACCCGAGTCATCAAGCAAATGCATTAACAGAGGCTCGGGTTGCTCAAGCTTGCAAACACAACATGATGCTTTTACGGCTTCCAGACTTCAAACAGCTGATGGAGAAAAGCCACCACCATCAGACCAGCCCTCGCAGTGGCTACCAGTGAGGTTCAGGATTGATTTTAAGCTTTTATTGCTCCGGGTTGTATCTGCGATCTTAACTCCCCATGAGCCTGATGGTTGCCTGAGATCCTCTGATAAAGACTTACTCAGTAATTCTCAACTTGTCACCAAAGATTTGCTCGTCAAAGTGACTCCCTTTTCCTAACCGATGGGTGTTTTCACTGAAGTTATTCCATCTTCTTTCTGCTTCTATTCTGTTTTTAATCACAAAGCAAGTTGGTCGTGAAAGATGAAAAACAAACAAAGCTCCTCATGAGGTACCCAACCTGAAAGCGAAAGCCACCAACTCCAATTTCAAATCCTTTTTCTTTTAAATCTAAGCACTTCACATCCAAGCAGGTGGAATCTACAGTTTCCACTTCTTCTCAGCATGTGGCACATTAAACAGAGGCAGGCTTGGAGTGCATCCATTTTCACACCATTATCTATTGTTGAATATATAGAGAGGGACATATAAAGATATTACAACCCAACAGGGATCATCTTTCATCACAGCCACCATTCACCGAGAGTCACGATTGATTACTAAATGGCTTTCTGGTGCCATAAACCATTCATTATTATTATTATTTAAGTGACTCCTATTAAAAATGCATGAAAATCAAACCATTCATGATGCAAGGTGGCAGTGCCAGCCAGGGCAGGAGGCTGTGATGCCACCTACAAGCTGGGCTACTCCCATATCCACAATGCATGGCCACATTATCCAAAATATATCCACCTAGGATGCCTAGATTTTAAAACAATCTGCCCGTCTGCTCAGTAAATCCACAGCCCTGCCTCGTATACATGTAGGTGAACCCTTTGCTGCAGTGGATCCTCCGGTTTCAGCACCTTGCAGGCGTGGACCAGAACAAAAGGCTGCAGCGGCGCCGAGACGCGCAACCAGGACGCAGCGGTACAATTTGGCACACTTCGTTTTTTTTTTTCCCCCCTAAATGATCAAGCACCACATTTCAAACCATTTATCACTGAAATCACAAAAGCTCCCCTATCCAGATTTGAACACCTCAAACTCCGCATTCACACACACACATAGCTGCACATCGCACCATTACGCGCACGGGGATTAGTGCACATTTACGCGTTTTGGACTTTCTCGGAAACTTTCACGGCTGTCAGCGTCGCGATCAAAGCTTCCCAATCACGCCGGTTTGAGCGATCAAGAAATCCTCTCTTGCCAATGAAGTGCTAAACAAAAGCGCTTGGGTTCTTACCTGCAGGTTTAGGCTGCTGAGCGGCACTAATACCCTTGTGTGTGTGAAAGGAGCTGGAGTGACAATGAGAGCGGTACGCGGCCCTGTGATCCCTCCCCATTGCAAATTAAGCTACCGTAAATGCGGCAGTAGAGGCGCAAGGGAGGGGTTATATGTGTGTGGATGCAGTATGCCAACAATTTCACAATACATGGAAATGTCCAGTGACATGCAAAGAAAAGGGAAAATGTCAAGTGATTGTTCAAAAAAAAGGCTTCACTGTTATAATTGGCTGGTTTGGTGAAAGGAGGCTGCAGCACTCGGTCTGCAGTGAGTGTGGGCTGAAGCACCGGGGTGTGGCTGTTGCTGAGGAAAGATGGAGAGAGAGGGGATAATGTGGAAGTGGTGCCAGAGGGGAGGAAAGAGGGAAGGGAGGGGGGAGAGATGGACCACTGAAGAGCAGCTACATCGCCCTCCCCTTCCCCTCCAGGTGAGGTGTGGCGAGGATGCTTCCTCAGCCGATGTGGGTTTTCGGGAGATCGTGGAAATGCAGTGGATTGAAATTGCATGACTTCTAATCAACCCAGATGTGTCACAAATAGGATAAAGGGAGCAAAATGTGCCAATCGTCACCCCGAATACACAAGATGAGAGGTTCAAACTTTGCAAAAATGATTTAAATCATCCACTCACATTCAACAGTCTGCCTTTTTTCCCCCCCTGCAGCAATGGGAGCCTGGTCATGTTGTCATTCCTCTACCGGATTTCTCTTTTCCCTGACTGCCACCTATTGACGGAAACCAGACAATGCACCCAGGAGGCAGCTCAGCAGGCCTTTAAATATGTTATTTCAACTCTCAACCTCTGACTGATCTGCTCCTAACATCAGCTGTCACTCAAATGGCGAAAGAGTTGCCACGTCAATGAGTTTCCAACAGTATGTGCATAAATGAAAGACAAAAAGAAATGCAAAGATGTTCAGATGAGCTCACATTACTTTAATCTGACGTTCTCAATGCTGTGCACGAGTGACAAAATCGCTCCTGTTCGATATTTCTGATTAACACTGGCCAGAAAAAGCAGATTAGTTTCATCAGGTGGACACAAAAATGACAGTTTCATTTACAAAAATAGCTTTCAGTACATGTGCAATACAACAACAATCACTGCAGTGACACTGACAAAAAAGGCAGGTGGTGATGTATATTCGATAAGGGCTTAGTTGAGAAACTGTTGAGCAATCGGTGCTTTTTCGACTCTACGTAGAGGGAATGTTCGATTCAAATGACGTCACACAAGCAAATCTGTGACAACTTTAGCTGAACAGTGGCCACGAAGAACAATTACAGGACGGTGCTAAAATGTAGAGGAGCTGTAGCGCAAAGAGAAAACAGTCATGAAGTCAGTAAACCTACAGTCATGTAAACAGCATTTTAAAGTTTGGGTTAGACATCAGCTATCGGTCATAGAAGAACAAGTATGGCTGTACCTTGAAATGTATTCCATGAAGTCAAAGTTAAATGAGGTGTCTGGTTGCTGATGTTGCTACTATGCTGAAGAAAAAAAATCCGTTAGGTGCTGAACTGTTTCCTTGGTTCTTTACCAGTCAAAGCTTCAGTTCACCAGAAAGCATGTAGAAGACTCTGAACATGCACGACAGTGGCATCATCATAATGTGGTTATGGCAGCAGGCCCTCGAATGCTTGTAATATCAGTAAAATTAATGCAGTAAGCTGTCAAGAGATCCTAGATGCAGTCTGCGAGACAACTATTATTTGTTTTCCAGGTAGATCATGATTCAAAGCACACAGGCGAAGAAATGTTTTAAAGACAAGTTGAATGTCCCTCGTGGCCGAGTCAGTGCCTAGGCCTCGATCTGATTAAAGATTTGAGGCTGGATTTGAAAACAATCCCTTAGCGAACTGACAAAGCTTGAGCAGTTTTGCAAAGAAAAATTGCATAAAATCACAGCGTACAAGGCTAAAGGAGGCCGATCCACACAGGCGTGATGCTGTCACTGCAACCAAAATGCATCGACTAGCTTCAGTATTTTCAGGGTGAAAACTTTTATTTTATTCTAGAAATCAGTTTTAATTTGACATGTTTTATAACCTCTTGTCAAAAAAGGGTCAATACCTTTTAGAAACACTGAGGCGAGCTTATTTCGCTAGATTTTCTGTCCCCATAGCGGATAATGAGGAAATAATCACTCAATGTGATCAAGTGCACCTTTAACCTGTGAGAGGAAGACGTTAGACTCTTGCTTTAACTCCACTACTTCCTGGAACAATTCAAGCATCATTTCGCTACATTCAAGGCTGTTCGTGATCACATTCACACTCTCTAAACCTTTTCCACACCAAGTGCCAGCTACGAAAACCCTTCTCCACTGTGAACCCTCCACGTGTCTCACTTCTGGCCCACGATGGTGCGAGCGATGAGCTCCTTCATGATCTCGTTGGTGCCTCCGTAGATGGGCTGGACGCGGGAGTCCACGAACGCCCTGAGAAGAAGACGGACAAGCTCAGTGGAATGACACAAACCGACTGTGTGATTACTCTGTGTTGTTGTGGGACACGTACTTGGCGATGGGGTATTCCCACATGTAGCCCCAGCCTCCGTGGAGCTGCAGGCACTGATTGGCCACCCGGTTCTGGAGGTCCGACCCCCTGGAGATGAGATGACGGCTGTTAGAGCGAGGCAACAACATGCTACTGATATGAGAAGTCCAAAATAAACTCTTACCAAAACTTGGCCATGGAGGCGGTGGCGGGATCCAGGCGTTTCTCAGCGTGGAGCTGAAGGCAGTTATCGACGAAGGATCGGCCCACACAGATCTCAGTCTTCAGCTCTGCCAGCTTGTGCTGCACCGTCTGTTGAGCAAAAGTAGACGCAATGATATTCTGATTCTAAAGCCAGTGCAGAAACTGTAAAGGTCAGCTCAAGCAAAGTCATTAAGATTAAACCCCAAGCACTTTTGTTCGTGTCACATTTTTCCTCACTGTTGGCTCGTTTTTTGCTGTAACAAAATTTCCCACACATCTATGGAAACAGCACAACCACAGCTAGAAAGAAGTCAAAGCTGTCTTTTGTGCAGTATTGCTTCCCTACACAACCTGCTGTTCAACCGAGAAGTGCCGACTATAGATCAAGGCTGACCAATTTGGTGCCCCCGAGCATCAGTGAATTTCACTTGTAATTTTCATACAATAACACAAACTATATGCATGTATTCAAGCTTTTATTCAAGTATAAACACCACAATAAATGAAACTAAAGAAACAAGAGACCTAAATTAAAAATACAATATAAATAAGGCATCTACAAATATAAAAAAATGTTCCGTAGCTTGTTTATTTTCTACTATCTACAGAACAAGGGGCTGTGGACCACTGAGGAATCTGATGTAGGGCTGCTCTAGTTTTATTTTTAAATTATTCTTTAAAAGAAAGATGTTTAGTTTTGCTGTAAAAGGTTTCAGTTGTTGAATACAAGTGTATTTGTCACTCATTGTTCGTTACTTAGTTTAACAATGAAGCTCTCATTTTAGGATGTAGAGCTCAAAAAATTCCAAGTGTTATTTATTGCCAACCCACATTCACACACACAGAGGTGAGATCAGTGCAGGTTCACTGTCAGCCAGATGGCAGTAGAACTTAAAGTGCTTCAATTTATCTGTTGAAAGTTTCTGTATTTTTTAATATATTGCAATATATATCACAGGGTTAGAAGAAATTGCAGTGTCAGTTTTTTCCAACATAGTGCAGCCCTTTATATATGTGTGGGTGTAATTTATTATAATATGGAGAAAGTTAAAGTATGAATTATTAACTGCACTTTAATATTGGAGTAAACGTAGCACCCTGTAGCAGATAAAGAGGAAGGAAAACTAAGCATTTTAACAGACAACAGTTTAAAATACCACCTGAACAGGCCTGATGTTGACTTTCTAAATATCCTTCATTCATTCATTTAAGGTGGTGGTAGCATATTAAGTCAATTATAGCCATTTAGTGATTATAAACAACGCTGCCATCGTCCAAAATAAGCAACAGGAACTACGATACATTAACCCAACACGGTTCTCACCAGAAATGTTTGACAGCGTAGCGTAGGGTTGTCTTAGCGACACTCTCTGTATTCAGGCAATAATTTAACCACAAGCGTCGATGCAGTTTCTCCACCGTGGTCTGCTGTTCGTTGGCTAATGTAGCGTCTTTGCTGCTAACGGTAGAGAAACTGCATCGGCGCTCGTTTATAAATATTTGCCTGAATGCATGTCAGGTAGCCGGGTACAATCAACGTGGAGAAATGATCATTCTCCCGCTACATACCCCCCGTGAATGTCGCCGCCCTTAGCATTTGCCCATACTGCTATAGATAAATAGTGATTCAACTTCCCTTCAAAGAAACCCAACTATCCATTTCATGTCAACTTCTAGGTTTAAGAGTTTTGGAGCCCGTGTTGAGTTTTAATCCTAAAAATAAAAGCCACTCCTTGCATTGCACAGCTGGCTGCAATGTTTTTGGTCTTGATATGAGCACTGAAGATCTAATCATTCCTGAAAGAAAACCCTCGTTACACTGACCTGTAGGTGAGCGACTGTCTTGCCAAAAGCCTTCCGCTGCAACACATAGTTCCTGGTTTCCTCAAACATGAACTCGGCGCTCGATACAGCCATGTCGGCAATCATAAGGCGCTCCTAGGGCACAAAAAAGACAAACTAAAATTCACCAAGCAATACATAACACATGATAATGTAGTAACAGATCAACTGCTATTAGTTTTGATCTCGTCTAGGTGCCCAAATAACAAACCGCATAATTTATTTCTGATTTCTCAAACCGTAGAATTGAAAGCTCAACCTGAGGACGGCCGTAAGATTCTAAAATATATATGAAGACAAGTCCACAGTGGGACCTGCTGTTAGGTCCTGATCACTCCTTCCTTCATGTCAAGGATGATTTAGAATTAAAACTGCTAAATTAAGTTACTGCTGTTGTTCCAGTCATAAATACACTCTCCTTTGAGATATTTATGTGGCTCCTGATGCTGCAGGTACTTAGTAAATAAAGGAAATAGTCCTAATAGCTGGAAGCAGCCACAGCTCACCTGATTGACATGAAGGCATGTGGACCTACAGTGTGGCTTCCTGTCAGATTCTGGCTCAGACTGATCCGCTCTAACAATTTAACAAAGTTAACAACACTGTTATTGTCCACGTGTGGAGACACTCATTAAAGAGTATCGTGTATCTTTAGGTTGTTAGTGTCCAGGGTGCAGACTCATATGCTGCAGACACGTTTAGCTGCTGTTAGATTTGAGTGAATGTCTAAAACGGGCTCTGAATAAAAAGTAGATTTTATATTTTAACTGTTCTTCTCACCTGTGGCAGTTCGTTCATCAGGTAGTAGAACCCTTTGTTGAGTTCCCCCAAGAGGGCGTCAGCCGGGAGACGCACATCCTCAAAGAACAGCTCAGCCGTGTCCTTTAAATGGAGGAGAAACGGCAGTAAGACGACGCCGATCGTCGACGTGTGAATGACCTGCGAGGCTGATCAAACCACCTCGGAACTCCAGTACCTGGGCCTTCAGGCCGATCTTCTCCAACTTGCGGCCCTTCTGGAAGCCCTTCATGCCGTTCTCGACCAGGAACAGGCTGATGCCGTGCGCCGCCGTCTTGGCCTCGCGGTTGGTCACGGTCACCACCACCACCAGGTCAGACATCCAGCCGTTGGTGATGAACACCTAAAGATGGAAAAGACTTCAAGCGGACGTTCAGACGCAGCGAAGTGACCGTTGTTGCTTTCAGTACCTTGTTGCCGTTCAGGATCCAGTCGCTGCCGTCCTTCTTGGCGTACGTCCTAACGCCCTGGAGATCACTGACAATATAAAGGGACCGGGTCATCACAGCTCAATCACATGAGTGCTCATTTCTTTGACGTCACATCTTGAGTCCTCACCTGCCTGCTCCTGGCTCCGTCATGGCGATGGCACCGATGCATTTCCCAGCCATCATCTGGGGAATGAAGCGATCGATCTGTTTCTTGCTACCGTAGTTGACGAGATAAGGCATCACGATGTCAGAGTGCAACGCGAAACCGGGGCCTGAGCAGTTGCTGTACATTCTGGAAGGACAAAAACGATATTTCTTAAAAAAATAGTTTGTCCCAGTCAGATATGAAGAGCGGTTTCCATATGAAGGATAACTCACTGCTCCTCCCATGTGACGACCGTGGAAAGCAGGTCTCCTCCGATGCCACCGTGCTCCTCTGGTACCATAACTCCCAGCAGGCCTTGCTCCCCGGCCTTCTCCCACACCTCCCTGCTCACCTGACCCGCCTTCTCCCACCTGGAACAAGGGACAGCGATTAAGATGAAGGTGAGAAAGAGTTCTTCAAACAGAAGTGGGTCAGGCCCTCGTTTCCACCTACTCTTTGTGGTGCGGGACCACTTCCTCTTGAAAGAAGCGCCGGACGCTCTCTCTAAACATGTCGTGGTCTTCATTGAAGATCCGACGTGTGCCGATGTCCATCAGGGTCTTGGCGCTGGAGGTCTCCCGTCGGGTCGAGTGGCCCGGCTGGGCAGACTGCTCGGGCTGAGTGTGCTGCAATCTGTGGACAGAAATGTGACCGATCACACTCAGCAAGTGGAACGAAGCAGCAGAGGATATTTACAGGTGTCTTGACAAGCGCTTGCTGAATGTGTTCCCTGAGATGACTCATGCAGTGAACTGGTGCTAAGGGTGAACAGTTATGACGCCCTGCATATCATAATCTCCTGACACAAGGGAACGCCTGTTTGGCAAATGAAGCACTTTGTGTACTTTCTTTTATATGCAGAAAAGCAAAAACATTCCTACTAAAATCCTAATTAAAATTGCAATATAGACTTAGACAAACGTTATTGATCCACAAGGGAAATTGCTTTTATCACAGAAGCACGAAATAAATTATTTAAGAATATACAAAAAAGAAAGAAAAATAAAAGTTAAGAAGCAGGGGGAAAAAAAGAATAGAAAGATTTCCAAAATTTATAAGTTTTTTTTGTTTTTTTTCTTGTTTTTGCCAAGTAAAAAAAAAAAACCCACAATAAAATAATAAAATAAACTAAAAATAAATAAAAATAAAGAGGGGTAGACTGTTTATATCTTACAAAATAACTGCAGTAAAATTCGTTTTATTCTAGAAATAAATACATTTCTATTGAAGAAAAAAAATTGAGAAACTCGCACTAAATTTTTTTATTTGATTTTTAAAAAAATATTTATTGTGGTTTTGCTGACTACAAAATCCGGGATTAAGAAAATTATAAATAAATGTCTAAAAACACAAATGTTATGTCCTCAAATTCCTTGTTTTGTGTAACAAATTGTTTATTACTATTACTACATAATAATAACTTAAATAAATCACAACCGGAAACCGGAAATTACATCAAAAACAACTACTCGCTATTAAAAACAAATCTGTTTTTGTTTTATGCTATATATAACAGCTATAAGTTAAAATATATACACTGTGAGGACCATAAAATGACAAACAGCATATTAATAATTAACATTGTAAATGAATTATTAAAATGTTAACTTTTCTAACTAACTTTTCTAATTGTTAGCATAGCGGTTTGAGCTACGTATTTAGCATTAAGGAAACTGTGTCAAAGGTTGCTGTGGCGCCCTTCCCCCGACTGACTCTTTAAATGCGACTGAAAGGAGACACAAGTTTGACAATTTTATGCAAAAATTAAACTATTTTCACGCAAATCAAACTGCTTAATCAAGCAATGTTAACGGAATAGATATTTACAGAAGCTAAAAGGAGAGAAACGCGAGAACTTGGCTGGGATTTGCTTCTCCTGAGACAAGTTTCTACAAGACAAGAAGGTATTTCAGCTCCATTTTTTTTTTTTTTACCTTGCAGCGGCCGCAGACAGCACCTGTCCTCGTCCGGAGACATGTCTGAGTCCAAGAAGACAACGTTTGACGACTCCTCTCACCAACATCTTCGTTCAAATGCGACGAATTCACAACAGAAACCTATAAGTTGGTCAAGCAAAGATCGTGTGAGAGATGAAGAGCCTTCACTCGGTCCGTGGAGCAACGTAAAAATAAACAAAAACAAAGAAAGTATAGTTTGTAGTCCTGTTTGTGGACACTGTTTTATTGGTCTAACAGTTAGCTTAAATAAAGCCGAATTGTGACTTTGAAATGAATTAGTCGCTTGTCTAAAGCAATATTTGACAATCTACAAGGCTCGTCTATGAAACTAGCATCAGAGTGAGACCTCCTGTGTCTTCCTACTCTGTGCGGCTGGATTTCTTCTTCTACTAAACTTTTAGGAGTTTTCCTGCTCAGCTGTGACACCTACTGGTAGAAATAAACAGCTGCAGACCACAATATGAAATATAGCATGCAACCAAAACATAATTTCTCACGTCGTTTTTTTTCCTTTTAAATCATTTTCATTGAGAATCTAAAATACATTTCACCAAAATCTTTAACTTTTAGTGCCCTATTTATGCATTTATTCACATGTTTAAGTTTAATGTGCTGTATGCAATGCAGAAATTAGCGAACATATTAGTCCGGTCCTGGCCAACTTACTTTAGCTCCCCATTCATTATAAAATGCAGTTTAAGATTTGTCTAATGAGGCTTTCAAACACCCATCATTCTGGCTTTTGTGCGTTTAACTGTTGCGACTTTATGGTTTAACTGTCTTTCATAATCTTTACAGTGTTAAGAACTCCGCTTTCAAAAGCTGCTCTAGAAAAAAAGTTTGTTCTTCTGACCTATTCATATTTATGTCACCACAGGAGGACAGAGGACCTTTGAACTTGCTGATGTTGGCTCCTGCACTTAATCCTCTAGAACACCATTAGGTTCAACAACGAAAGCAAAAACTATCAGTAAACTAAAGCTGCAAAAAAGTCGAGCAGTGCTGACATTTAAACCATCATCTCTACGCAGTTGTATTTTTGGCTTCATCCTTGATCCTTTATCCCTGAACCATTTCACATGTCTGATACACTCATGACATAAGGCGCATGTTAACATTTATGAAATCAATCCATGTCTTCAATTATTCTTGTGAAGGTTCTTCCTGTTTACTTGATTTCTTACTTCTTTCTTACTAATTACATAGAATCTGTGGAAATTTCCATGCTGTTCAAGCTCTTTTCTTTTTTTAAACTTTCCCTCTGAAGTAGTTTTAATCTATATAACAAATATGCATGATGGGGAAGTGAAGCTTGGTGGGAGTTTGAGAACATGCTTTGACTGACATGTTCTACATTCATGGATCCACAAGGCTGCAGAGATATAAGACGAGGGATTTAAATTGTATATGGATGCAGCATTTAATCAATAAAACTAATTCATGCCAAAAACAGAGTATGGAAAATGTGCTTGTCATCCTAAAAAAATGCTACAAATCATCCACTCACATTCAACAGTCTGCTTTCTCCTGCAGCGATGGGATCCTGGTCATTCATGGTTCCTCTGCTGGATTTGTCCTTTCACTGACTGCCACCTGTTGACGCAAATGAGACAATGCACTGAGGATGCATATCTGCAACTCAATAGGACTTTATACACATTACGTCAACTCCAACTTTGATTTTAAAGCAATGTCACAGTTTTAAGTTTTGAGGAGTTCAAGGGCTGTCTAAAAGTTGAAAATCCAACTCTGTTTTTACCGCTTCTGCCTCTCATAAATGCTATTTCTGTAAGTATATCAGGCTCTCTGACTGACACAGGGGACATCTGGTGCATGACAGCAAGGTCAAGTGCTTTTCTAGATATCTTGTATATACACAAACTGGTCTATATTTTTTTGAGGTGGGCCTTTTTTTTAGGTTGTAAAATGCAAGTTTACAGCAGTAAATACCCCCAGCTGTCCTGCAATCAGTCACCACCTGCACCTGTTTCAGTTTTAAATGTTAAAATAAAGCCTATGTAGGCATATTTTGTTGAGAGATTATTTCATCTACTTTTTGAATCCAATATTTCAGTTACAGAATCAATATGTTGAAATATAACAGTGAACATTTCAGACTTTTTGTCTTTAATAGTTCCTGAGATCAAACACTTCATCGTGAAAAGAAGCTTTCTCAAAGTGGGTGGAGTTAAAAAAAAAAATTAAATCCAACAATTATTTAGTATATTGAGCTAAATTACAACTGTTACCTTCATACATATTTCTGTTTTATGCTGGAAAAAATTAGGCAAATTTAGAAATGGTTCAACTGTTCTAAAAATGAGATTGTCTGAGCTTAACAGCATACAGTCGTCCCCTTCCATTAAAGAAAAGGCAAAATTAACAATAGTCGCTCAAATAACTAGAAACTGAAGTAATAACTAAAAATTTGCTAAATTATAATTGAGTGAAACAAGACATTGCTGCTGAATTGTGGTTGAAAAGAATATTAAAAACAAAACAAATTAGAGCACTTTGCTGATGAGCAGTGAAATCTAAACACCTGTCAACAGGTGCAGAAGTCTGATGGAGAGTTACAGAAAACACCTGATGGCAGTGATTGGCTCAAAGGGTTGTTTAACAAAATATTAGTTGACGGGTCCCATCATGCTTGTTTGCTTGTTTTTTAAAAAAAATATTTCTGTTGAACCACAATTCAAAAGCAACGTCATGATTTTCATTAAAAAAATTTTAAAATTACTTTTGTCAATTTCTTTCAGTGACAGCTGTTCTTTCCTTTAATGGGCGGCTATGAATACGTTTAGAGGACGACTGTCTTTGCCGAGACATGTCGGCTGAAGGACGTCCACATTCCCATCCTGCCACGTCAGGAGAATTGTCTTATATAATTCTGTATGTACGTAATCCATTATCTGCACACACTGTGGATCATTCTCCTCCCACATCACCAATCAGACGTCTGTATCATGACATCCACACACTGACAGATGCTTTTCTCTACTGCCTGCACAGACGGCCATCGTTTGTGATATGAGGATTACTCTGACGTGACATTCTGTTAAAGAACACCGGCTCTGAGATCCTGAAGAAAGAACACTAGATAATCTGAGAGTGTTCATCTAATGTCCTGTTTTATCTTTGGGAAAAGGAAACAGATCTTATACACAGTCAACCCAACGTCATGGCCTTGGGAACCATATCTGGACACCACAGACAGACTCTTGGCTCTTACGTGATGCCTCTGATCTCTTATAGGATGCAACAGGCCCAACTCACCGTCAAGCTGATCAGTGAAGGCGTTTGTGTCTCACTGTTACACGTCTACGTACAAGAAGCAAACACTGACCATCAAGGAAGGAAGAACTCAAAGGTGAGATGGATGGCAGTGAAAGAAAATCGGATTTATTTACAAGTTTTTGAATTAACGACTGAACAAAACAAATGTTTCAAAAATGTCAGGGGGGGAAGGGTCAACTGTGGGGTTGTGCCAAACAAGAAAGAAAAGGAAAACAAAAGGTTTGGCTATCTTATCTAATAAAAACCTACAATGGTGGCACCAACCCATAACTTGGTGGAACAATGAAAGTAAACGACATGTGAAGTGTACAGGGTGCCCAGTCTTACCTCAGCTTCCCACCACAAACCGTCCACGCTGACAACAGCATTCAAATTGCAGCAAAGCAAAAGGGAGACCAAAACAGCCAGAGGGCTTTTGAAGGGGTTTCCTCTGTCCTAATTGGTTAATTGGCAGGAGTGTGAGCCAATCATCTGCTCTTCAGGAGCTCACTCCCGGCAGCCAATCTTCTAATTATCACCTAAACACCTGCATGTAACACTCACACCAAACATATTCAGACAAAACTGTCTGATAAGGCAGTGGTTCTCAAAAAAAGGGCCTACATTTATCAAATAAATGTGTATTTGTGCTGTCAAAATTAAAGTGTAAACTTCTTCCTGATCCTTTTTTTTTTAACTTGTTAATATTATAATTTGATTATGTGATATTATTATTCTTTTTTAATGCTCTTTTTAAAATTATTTTCTTTTGTTTATCTATTTTTTCCCCCTTTCATTTGGTCGAAATAAATTAAATTCATTCATTCATTCAAAAGAAAATTAACGTGTTAATGTAACGAGATCAATCTGTGGAATTAACACATTAATCTTGAACCCATTAATGCATGAATTCAAACTGGGGGGTCACGAACACAAACTTATGTTATCTTGGGGGCTCAAAAAGTTTGAGAACCACTGCTCTAGTTTATATTAATAAGAGTACAAGAGCTCCATTTGTGGATTCATCGATCCTTAAAGCAGCATCTGCAGACGACCTTCTTAATTATTTGGAATCCAAAATACTCAAAAATTAGAATCATCTCTGTGAAACGGAGAAATTACGCAACCATTAAGCTTCAGACTCACCAAATCTACAAAGAGAAAGTCTCCACAACACTGAGTTATCCAGAGCTAGACAGTACGATGGTGAATATATGTCTGAAGAAAAAGTGCAGCAAGTTTAACTATCGCTACCCTAGTTAGATGTAAACAACTGTCTGATATCGTACGTCTTTTCTAATGTGCTATCGTTTCCATTTCAATGTTTTATTGCATTTTCTGGCTGTTTCATTGCTGTTTTATTTTCATAAGTTCTTTGCAACTCCAGTGTCGACAGGCTCCAGCATGTCATGTCCACTTTGCACCACAAGGGGTCAGGCTTTCCTTCTTTTCCAGCTATGAACTTGTTGCCACAGGAGAAGTTTAAATAATGGTAAATGTACAGCTAAAGCAAAAAGTATAGATAAGCTACGGACGCAAAACAGCCACATTTGGACAAATCTGTTACGGTCACTCGTTAGCATTTCCTTGGAGTAGAAATCAATCCAAGGTTTTGCTTTTCTCACTTCTTAAATATTAATTTATGTCCTGTGCACGCTAATATACTGGACATGCACCCTTTTTTTGCTTTACTTCTGCAAAAACCTTGTATCTATACTAGCAATACGCATAATATTAACAGTTGTTTAATATTTAACAGTTTGAATACCTCATATGGAATGAAAAAATGATGAAATCCTTTCATTTTTTAAGGTAGCATTTTCCTGATATTGCAATATATCTTCTTATGCTTCATGAAATTATTATTGTTTTTTAAATCTTCGGCTCAGAATCATCAAATTCTATCTATTTAGATGAAAAACGAGCCTCATGTAAGTGTTAAAAACAGAATGAAGCAGGAAAAAACGCCTTTTTTTCTCCATTTAAACATCCATATGTACTAGTTTGATCAGAATATTTCATTTTCTGCAGTTTTATTCAGTGGAATTAAACTAAATAGCTAAAATCTGCTACCTGACGAAAGCTTTCAAGAGTTTATTGACTGTGTTTATTCATGGTTTCTCTTCTCATATATATATATATTGTCTGCAAGTGTTTGTGGGTAATGAAACATCAAGGATCAACCTGGGTGGGATGTACGTTGGAAAAGTTTATTCTGAAATGAACAGAGTGAAAATAAATAAAACTTTTTTTTCTTTTTTGGGAAGTGAGGTGGACGTCTGGCGGTCTATCCACGACCGTTCTCCAGCACCTTTGGCATTGCTGGGCCAGTGATGTCGCGACTGAATGAGGTGGCGGTGGGAAGGGAGGGATCTACCCTCACTTGATGAGCGGTCACCCCTTCTCCCCCGTTTCTCACCCCATGCGGCCGAGTGGAAGACGCGCCCCGGTGTTGGCGGGTGGGGGGGGAGTGGAGGCCGAGTGATGGGTGGGTCTACAACGGAGAGAGGCGGCGGCGGTGATGGTGTCCCAAGAGCGGAGGGTTTGTTGAGACGAAGTGGAAAGGAAAACAAAATAAACAAAGATGGGTTTGCTTCAACATCCCTTGTACATAGTCCTTGTCTTTCCTTGGTTGGTCTTTGAAACAGTGTAGATGTCCTGAACACCGTCGGGCTGTCTGTAGGCGAGCTACAGTTTCTTCAGCACTCCTCTTACACGGACAGGATGTGCTTGACGAAAGCTGCGGGGTAGAAGTTCAAACATTTAGCTTTCTATATTTATAAAAAGTGGGAAAGAAAAAGGAGGGGGTGAAGGGAAACCTTACCCTCGTAGTGCACACTGCCGTTCTCGTCCTCCTGTCCGGCCATGAGGGCATCAATCTCAGGCTCGCTCATCTTCTCTCCTGTAAGGGATCGATGTCTCCGTTTCACTCGCTGTGCGTGCTAAGCAATCTATATTTGTTGCGCCGCTTCTAAATTTAGGGGGACTCACCCAGGGTGGACAGCACGATGCGCAGCTCAGCGCCCATGACTGTGCCGTTGCCCTCCTTGTCGAAGACGCGCAGACCCTCAACGTAGTCGTCGTAGGTTCCCTTGGGCAGGGCGTCCACCTGCTTCAGCATGGGCAGGAAAGCGTCGAAGTTGAGCCTCTTGTTGGCCATGTCTGTTGGATCACGTGGGTTTATTTTAAGCACGAAACCAACAAAAAAAACACCTAAAAGCACAGAACCTTTAAACCGACTCTCACCGTCAGCAGATGGGTTGCCGAGAATCGTTGTAACGTCCTTGTTGGTGGGGTTCTGGCCCAGGGCGCGCATGACTTCGGCCACCTGGTTGTAGGCCACCTGGCTGTCACCAATTCTGTCAAAGAGACCGAAAGCCTCCTTGAAGTCTGGACAGGGAGAAAGAGAGACGCAAGTTTGACACAAGTTGGTCGAAAGAGTCTAGATCTAGAAGTTAGAACACTTACACGAGCTAAGATGTGCTGCCATTAAACGCTACACCCAACATGTCTGGTTACGTCTCTTCTGGCCGTTAGATTTTTGTTCCTTTCCATTACGGAGTTCATCTAAGCTAGCTACGTGGTGCCACGCCGCATCTGAGGATCAAAGACCAGCAGAAGCCGCATACTTCTGTCATTGTTCTCGTCTAATTGGGAGCAACAGCTGAATCCCAGCGCAAGGAACAAAAGGTTAGCTATTTCTATGAGTGCTACCAGGAAGCCAGCTCAAAGTGACCTTTTTGACAGATTAATGTGCGCTTCTGAGCAGTGGCGGCTGCAGCTGTGCCCTCCACCCCCTCTGACATTCCTGCCTCCAGTTGCATTCGGGGCGACATTGGAGGCAAACTGATATACCCCCCGATAGAGGAGCCCCGGCCTTATAGAGACATGGCTCCCCCACGGGCCTCCTCGAGCTAAACCCAACACCGCTGACGGCGTCGTAATCGACACCTTACAGTCTAGAATGTGCGGAAGCAGCACTTTTCTTTCTTTTTGGGGGGAAAAAAGCTGTAAGATGTACGAGTGGAAAAATTATCTGAAGGACACACGGTGGGTAGAGGACACGTCTTTCAGCGGCGAGGGTCGAGGATGGTTCGGATTCCTCGTGTAAGGTGATGCCGCCGCCGTGCCTGCATCTTAAACCTTGACCCGGGGATTAACGCCTCTGCTGCGCGAAGACAAGGCCGGGCCGGCTGAGAATAGACATATCTGAAATCCTCCACGGCAACTGGACAAGTCAGGGGAATGGCACGCCCTGGATTTTCCTCATCCCCCTTCCCCTCCCAACTTCCACCTTTTAGCACTTAATTCAGACTAAAAGGATCAGCTGGACAAGCCCGAGGCGGCTGTGGGAGTTTGTTTAGTGCGATAATTGCAAGATCGCTACGAGAGAATCGGAGGGCCGAGCCTCTTGCTTTTTTTTTTTGCGAGGGAATGTCACCCAACGTGATGACAGAGTGGGGCTTTTTTTCTTCACTTACCTTCAATCTGGTCCGGTGTGAACTCCGTCTGTCACATGAAAACACACAAAAACGCACACGAACAAAAACACACAGACGACAGAGAGATGGATAAAAACAGATTGTTTATGAGAAGCGGCACAAGATGAGATATTTAGCGTAAAATGTTCAAAACGCACAGGATGGATGGTAAAAAATGATTTTTTTATACACTTAAAGATCAACATGTGATTTAACGCCGTGATCCTTGGCGCAAATGCAATCCTCAGAGAATTTCGTAATTTAGAAGTCCTCCCTAACATGACGCCAATAAAGTCCCAAATTTGGTTTATTTTCTAAAGATCCAAACCCAAAACGGAGGGAAAAAAAAAAGTATCTCCATCCACCCATAACGTCCAGAAACACAATTCAGTACACACCATGTTGGAGAGTAGGAGCTGGAGGAGCGGAAAGAAAAGAAGATGAGAAGCCGAAGTCCCAAGACAGAGTGGTCCTGAGCCATGGTCCGAGCCCCCCTCTTATTTATCCCAGGCATGTGATGTCACGTATGCTAATGGGCAGATCAGATGACACGTTGGGACATCTTTAACTTTCTTAGGGCAAACGGAAAGGAGAGCTGTTGCCCCTCAGAGCAAGTGGGAGTAGGCCTTTAGAAGGGGACAGGGCTATTTTTGGAAGAACTGTGTCAAGACTCCTCGCGTCCAGATTCGAAGGAGATATTGAACTTGTTCCCGTAAAAAAAACGAATTGTGTTTTCGCTTGAGGGGTTCGAGTTTGAGAGGAGCGCACAGGTGAGGAGGGGAAAATACAGAAAACTCAGCAGCCCAGTGGCCCACTTAGCGGGAGCGGCGGCGGGCTCGTTTACAAGGAGGTATTTTTAAAACAGCCCCGCCGCTCCTCCTCTTATGGTGAAATAACAGCAGGGCAAAAAAGCGCTCGAAAAGTTGAGCGCCTTCAGGCAGGTATGAGGGGAAAACAACCCGCGAGGAGCTTTCGTGACGAGGTTTTTGGACAGTTTAAGAAAACAGCTGATTTGTAACATGTGTTACCCCAGAGCGCTTCTCTTGCTTCAAACCCCATCAGCGTTTATGGAACCGAAGGAGCAAAATTGAGGCAGATTAAGTTACCAAGAAGTGCCGTCATTGCATAATCTGGAGGTTTAGATGTGTTGTCCAGCAGAGCTCTCCGTGGTGCTGATGGGAAAGAAAGTTGGTTTCGCAGTTTATTCACGTAAATTTGAAGCACACAAGCAACTTTTTAAGGCCATGTCACACTCGTTTACCTCAATAGAGTCCAGCCTGAACCTACAATCTATCGCTTGACCCAATCCTTTAACCAGAATCAACACTATAATCACATGGTTCCTGTTTTAGCCTCTTCAGATGGGTTTCATTGCTCCTCTCACAGTCATGTCTCCCACCTTCTTGGTACCAATCGCAGGACTTCACAATCTCCGGAAGCATCTGGAAGTCTCTCCAGGAAACACTTTCCAAAGTTTAAATTTTTACCCCATGTGCCTGTTATTTCTTAAAAAGATGTATTTACTGCTCCAATAATGCATTTGTTTTAAGACACGAAACTGTTCTTATTTGCAGACAGGCTCAAACGGCATTATTTAAAATAAATATTGAACTCAATTACACCATTTATCCAAGCAGAAACTGTACAAACAAAGTTCCCAAGAGTCTTTAAACTGATTGTGCTAGTTATGGAAAATTTGAAAAGGGTATCACTTTATTCTATTAGTCTCATCTGAAAAAAAAAAAAACTCCCCAAAATAAACCACATCCCTTATCCAGAATCTGTAAAGATGATAAAATGTTGTGTTCTTTGGTGCAACCCAGAAGCGATGAAGTCTTTTCGGTTGAAGTGCAGGCTGTGTGTGGGAACAATTTCAAAATAAAACATCATATTGTGTAATAAAATGTTGTGCATCGGGATTTATTGTAACATAAATAATCAAATAAAGTCTGCTTTTGTTTTTGTGATGACTTGTGGCATTTATAACTCTCGCAAAAATGTCAAAAGAAGGGAAAAAAAAACGTCCAGAAACAGCTGGTTTTGACGGTTTTATAACTCGTCTGGAGTATTTTGCTGCTTTGTGAAGCGCTGAATAAATAAAAACCATTTCATTTCTGCAGAGAATCGCTTACACTGGCGGGGACACTACAGCACGCTTACATGACGTATAAACGCTCTTATGCTTGGCTGGCTCCTGTCAAAATAACCGTCTGTCAAAGTGTTTCGCTCGTGCATGGATTCCCAACATAACGCTCATCTTGCGAGGTTTCACCACGAATATATTACGTTCTCAACTCGAGTCCCTGCAGATTTATTTAGCCGGCTCTGCAGCTCCCACACAGGCCTCCGCTGGCTACTTCTTATTCCGGATGTTGTGGGATATATTACAATAAATCATTCTAATTAACAGCAGCTACTTACTTAGCAATCTGCTGCACGTTCTGGGATGTTGTTATGCAAGTATTGTCTACGATAAGTTATTCTGTTGACTGTGAGCCAGCTGTAATGCGAGAAGCTGCTCAGTCAAAGCCACTGGAGCTGATTTAGTCTACTATTAACTTTTAGTCAGAAATGCTAAAGTTTACATCCGTAGACGGGTGTTTTTGGGCAACGTGAGTAAAAAAATAAAAGTCAAATTATGCCTGTATGGTTTTTGGAATCAATCAGTTTTAGAATAGAAGCACAGAATGAGATAATCCCCTGGCAGCGTGGACGCTTCGTGCTGCTAGTCCAACCTGTCATCGACTCTGTACCACAGAACATCACGGGACATTTGTAGGAGCGAGCGGGCGTCCACGCCTCCTGGACAGATGAGCTCTATTTTTATTCCTGCCGGAGGAGGAGGAGGAGGGAAATGTTTCTCAAGACTCCCTCGTACAGTAACCGCCACCCGTCCCTCCCCAGCTAGCTCGGGGTCGTTAAAGAAGGGGCTTAAAAAAGAGCAGTGGCATTGTGTCGCCGCTTGGTTTTCAGGGTGATACATGAGCCTTATTTGGAAGAGAGACCGGACAAGTCGGGCCAAGTGTCCCAAGGAGGACGGGCCGGAGGGTTTTAGACGCTCGGTAATGTAATATTTGGCATTTAAACCGACAGATTCAGCTCAAAGCAGACGCGTGTCGTGTGATTTGCAAGGTCTTCAACAAGTCAAAGCAGATCACGTCGAACTTATCTGATTAGCATAAAACTGACTATTCATAAAGATTCAGAAATCCCACTCAACAGCTCTCTGCCGCCCCCTTGTGGCCTCTCTTCGCCGCTGCACGACGCAGTTGAGATTCACGACAGCTGTAAAAAGTTTATTGCTCAGGACAGGCGACAGCTCTACACCGGGTATTGTGAGGGTTGAACATACGACACAGCTGTGATAAATCTAGTGCAATGTTACGAGCTTTACTGCTTTTTCTTTTAAAAAAAAAAAAAGAAACAAAAACATCAAATAGTAAACAAAAGCAACCAACTTAAACAATACAAATATACAGTTATTTGTTAACACCTTTTTTTTTTGTTTGTTTGTTTCCCCACATTTTTTTTTTTGTTATTTTAAAATTAACTTTCCCGTCATGTGTTGCTGAATCCCTACAATACGTTACAATGTGCAGTTACGGCTAGACACTGAACAGCTGAACCAAAGATGCTATCGAAGCTCTCAACATATCTTTTGAGGATTCTTCTTGTTTTGTCTCGAGCGGGAGGGGGGAAAAAACATGGCACAGAAAAATCTGAAGCGGGAGTCAAAAGTCGGCCTTCGAGACTAAAGTCCTTGAACATTATTTACCAGTGTTTCCATGCATGCGTGTGACGGAGAATGAGTCGTCTTCTTCTTGTTAGATTATCTGCGGCGATGTTGTTGGAGGGGGGAGGGAGGGAGGCGCTACCTGTCTACACCTCGAACGCCGGGAACCTCGCTTTCATTGGCTGCAGCAAGTCGGCCAAGAAGTAGATGGTGCCCGCCATGCCTGCAAAGGAGAAGGGACATGACAGCTGTAACGGTGGGAAGAGGACGATGCAACATTTTTATTACTATCTTAATCGACATGTTTGAGGGAGCAGTTCTGCACGTACACGGGAAGAAAGCACTGGATTACAAAACACCAAATAACGGGCACAAATCAAATCTTCGGTTATGATATCAGAAGTAACACGAACAAAACAACTGCAATCTCATTTACAGTTGCACTGACAATGGAAGCAGAAGCTGTGTAGATATTCTCTTTTCTCAGAACGCAGCAACTGATCACAGGTTGTGGTGGTTTGCTGTCCTTCGTGATCACTTTTGATGCTGTTCAGCTTGTTGAATCCCTCTGAATGGCTTTGACAGTATCACTTGCTGGGTTAAAAGCTCTTGTTTAAGTGGTATTAGTGTCAGATATAATATTTCTAACTGGTGGTTAGCACCGTTGCCTCGCAGCTAGAAGGTCGCCGGTTCGTGTCCCGGTGAGGACACCTGAGATCTTTCTGCGTGGAGTCTCCATGTTCTCCCCGTGCAGCGGGGGTTCTCTCCGGGTTCTTCCTCCCACAGTCCAGAAACATGTTGAGGTTAATTGGTGATCCTAAATTGTCCGTAGGTGTGAATGTGAGTGTGCTTGGTTGTCTGTCTCTAAGTGTAGCCCTGTGATAGACTGGTTACCTGTCCAGGTGAACCTGCCTTCACCCTGAGTCAGCTGGGATAGACTCCAGCGACCCTAGTGAGGATTAAGTGGTGCATAGATGGAGATATCCTGCAACATCACAACTGTGTCGACTCCAGGTATGTATGTACAGGTTTTAGCCCACTGAAGCCAGTGCAGCTTTGTTTTTCCTCCCTCGAAATTCCAGCGTTGACTCCAGAGTCGATCAAAGAAAATGTCAGTCGGCTAAAATCGTACCAGCTAACCTATTGGTTATTCCCCTAAACGAAGCACAAATAAACATAAAAAACAAGTATTTTAAGTTAACTAATGCACTGAAACCCAACTAGTTTCAGGGAGTTTCTTGCTCCTGTCACATTTTTAACTCACTGTGGGATCATTTTTCACTGGAATATAAAGTCCTGCACAACCGCAGCCCGAAGTGGAGACAACTCAAAAATATCTGTTGTGCGGTGTATCAAAATTATATTGTTATGAATTTTAAAAAATGATCAAGTCAAATAAAGCTGGAATCTGCATGTACAGCAAAATACTCGAAGATAGTTGTTTCTACATTTTGTGGATATTTTACCACTAACATTTTGAATTCATCTCCACGCTTGTCTCCTCCCTGCTCTGTGTAAACACTGTCTGCAGTTCAGCCAAAAAGATGCTGAATTATTGTCACGACGCTGAGCTGAGTCACTAAAATTGCAGGACTTTGTTTATACAGTTTTGTTAGCTCTGATTGTTTTTGTTGCAGAATAAAGTAATGTTGCTAAAATGTCACGATTTTAAGCTTCGATTTGGTTCATTTTCTTGACAAAACTAGTTGGAAATTCATCGATTCTTCCTGTTTGTAGGTTTCTAGTTCAGATAAATTACAACCTTGTCATAATATTGCGTCCTGCTTAGAACTCCAAGCACAAGAACTTGTGTCTAAATTCACTTCTTCTCTGTAGATTAGTCACAGAAAATAAGATCTGTGTGAGTTTTGTTATATGTTACACCTTACTTCTCACTGCTTCTCTCGCGACTGTGCAAGCACATTGTTGATGCTGAAATGAAATACTGTGCAGCCTCAACCTGGAGACGACAGCTCAGCGGACTTCCTCTTTTTTTGTGTTGCATCAGTCCTACAGGGCTGCATCGTACTTTATTCCATCTTCTACACTGACATGACTGATCATGTCTGAGATGCTGGTGGATAAGAAACAAAAACTGCCAAATCTATGCATCTTTTCAAGCTCGACAGTTGTGTATAATCTGAGCGCTGCAATGACAAGATGTTTTCAGGCGAGTGGGACGTGTCGTCTCGTGTTACCTTCAAAAAGAGAGAAGGGAGTGTCTGGTGTCCGGCATCCGTGCTTGCCGTAGTTCATGCACCAGTCGGCAAACTGCAAGGACAGAGAGAGCGATAACAACAACAACAACACCGAACTGTACTGTAGCCGGGCCGTCTCGGGAGAACACCGAGCAACGTCAACAACTGCTGAAAATTGCGCTCGGCTCAGTGAAACCCAAGCATCTGTCGAGGTGTCGGATTATGACCACAACGGCGCTCTGTTGCACTCGGGAGGATGTAACGGAGCTCCGGCGGACGCGTCTGAAGAGTTTATTTCCATCCTCTATGAATAGATTCATATTAATGAAAGTACTTGCGGGACTCGTGCCACCTGGAGCGCGTCCAAAACCGAGTTCCTGCTGCCGGACCCGCCTGGCCCAGCTTTGACGGCGACTCGCACAGACAGCGACCGACCCATTGTCAATAAGCATAAAAGGCCCTGCCTCTCACATGCCCACCGTTTCTGGAATAATTCTCAATTTTGAGGCTGGCGGGCGGCCAGCTGTGCTATGATTGGTTGCGCTTTGAACTAAGTCTAATACGACTTTCACATCTTCCATCAAAGTCGGGGGAGAAAGCAAAGGGTGGACACAACACGGAGCCTCAAAAAGAATTATTAAATGACCTCTTCTGTTTTATACTGCGCAGATTAACTTTTATATGAGTTGTTCAATGGGCAAATCCCTCGACAAGATCAATGCCAAACACTTTTCAATTAAATTAAATATTTATTTTAGGCTTCATTTATTATTCCTCCTTATAATGTGTTTGTTTGGGAACATACGAACGGAGCACGTGCACTGAAATTTCATGGATTAAAGCTCCGGGAAACCTTTCTCTGATAAGCTAGTCATAAACTGCATTAATCAAGTCTTTGGATGCTAATTAAGATGGATGCACTGCAGGAGCGCCACTATTGATATTTGCAGTCGTTTGATCGCTCCGATGGCCGCCGCGCCCCGCGGACGATGATTATGAAGCGTCTGTCATGTGCTCTCACCATGCAGGCTCTGTAAAGGTGCTTCGGGTCCTGCGTCTGCCGGTAGAGGGCCAGGAAGGTGTAGGCGTTACCTGCCGCTCCGTGGCAGAGCCCGTAGCCCTTCTTGAGCAAACCGTACCGCCACACCACCTCACCGCACTGCAGAGCGTCCCCAAGGTACTGAGGAATGCCGAAAGCCTGCAGCAAGCGAGCAAAGGAGCGAGATTATGTAAGAATTTGTGTTTTCACATATGTTCACAGGGACTTAGGTTAAAATATTCTACATTTCAGGTCACAATAAAGGGAATTTATTCCCAGCCTGAGATGAAAACAATAACCAAACTTCACCACAAGATGGCAGTATGACCCCATCGATGATTTCCATCTATCTCAACATTCATTTCCACTTTCTGCTTTTACCCTGTAGGCCTGCAGCAGCATGTAGACGACCCCCGGAGATCCGTGGCACCAGTGCACCAGCAGGTCGCGGTCGTCTCCGATGCAGGGAGGGTAGTTTCCGGTGGGGAACTTCAGGCGGCACACGTGGTCGACGCTGGGCTTCACCAGCCGGTGCACGTGCTCCTCCACGGAAACGAAGCCCGGCTGTGAAACGAAAAGAAGACTTTAAAAGAAGAGGAGGGGGTAACTTTTGGAGAGTCGGATGCAGGCCGATGATACCGATACAGATTATTTGTATTGATGGCAAATGTTTGAAACCTTGGAGTCAAAATCCAGAACTCTCAGCTTTAGTATCGTATATTTATATATATACACGTCTGTATGGGGGTTGACAGTGCTGTGAGTATGACACTACTCGACTACAGATGGAGAGAGGCAGCTGCACGAGAGCCAAAGTCGCAGATTTTCCATTTCAATTGGAAATTGGTTTAAAAGAAAAAAAGATTCAGATAATTGGAAAAATGCTGCGATGGATAACTTCTGAATCAGAGTGCTTATTGGAAATTAACTTTTGGGTTCACCTACCATAGGAAGATAACAAATTGGATCGGATCAGACTGGTCTGACGTTATGATTTGCTCGTTCAATTAGCCATTTAATCAATTTATCTGCAGCAATTGCAATGATTAATGGATCTTTTAAGTGTTTTACAAGGCAACATTTAATGATTGTGGCTTCCTGAAAGTGTCCTTTTCATTGGTTTGTGTCACTACAACATTGTAAAATAGGATTGTAGCCATAGATCACATGAAACCCACCAGCTTGTGGACGGTTCAATCATCAATCGTATATTGTACATATGCACAAGGCTACTGCCGTACCTGCATGAGGAAATAGAAGATGCCAGCCAGGCCGTGGGCGGCGCCGACGTACAGCTCCTGGTACCACTCGTACATCAGGGGGCTCTGGTTCTGGAGCCGGAACTTCCTGCTCAGGTGCTCGCCTGACGCCAGCACGGACTCGCTGATCTGAGGAAGGAAACAACACATCCGAGCTCACTTGCGCGCCTAATCTGAACAATTGGAGAAAATCAATGGAGATAAATTAGAGCCATCGGACATCGATGTGTGTAGGGCCGCGCAAATTACGGCAAATCAAGAACGTTGGGGGGGCAGCGAGAGTCCAATCAGCCGTCACGTCGCTGCTGTTCCTTAGACATTCAGTACACGTCTTTCACTTTATGGTTACTGTAGATGTAGCGAACACAAAAGGAGGGCTGAGGCTGCTGAATAAAATGGAGAACACAAACACTCTAGACGACTGTGTCCGAGGTCACCACCTGTTGGATGTACTGCAGCGGGATCCTGTCTTGGCCGAGCTGCTGGTTGATGAAGACGAGGGAGTAGAGGTAGCCCACCCGCCCGTAGAGCATCTCGTCTGGCACCCCGCCTGAACCGGCCACCACCGTCTGGTGGTACTGCAGCAGTCTGGGAGAAAGGCACGGCATTCACAAAAGCCTGACGACTGCACCGATGAACCACATTTGAAAATACTGGGGGTGTTCTTTGTAAACGATGACCTATAAGTGTATACAATTAATTACATCATAAACAATTCCAGCTCCGGCAGTTAATTAAACTGGATCTGGACCATTAGACTGGACCAATCAGCTACATGTGGGTGCATCTGATAGATAATGCAGATACTTCCTTACTAAGTGTGATTATATTTGCTGTTATTTTACATTGATCATAGCATTTAGCATAACAATACTGATGAAAGCTAAAATCTTGCAGAATCTGAAGCTAGAAGGGTCCGATTCCCGGTCTGGGATCTCGTCTGTGTGGAGTTTGCACATTCTTCCTTTGCTTGAGATGGTCCAAAACCATGCTGAGGTTAACTGCTGATTCCAAATTGTCCGTAGGTGTCAGTGTGATTGGTTGTTTGTCTCATTCATGAAAATAAACAAACAACTCCTTCTTCTCGACTGACCTGTTGATGCACTCGTCAGTCTCTTGCGGCCTCTGAAGCCGGTAGTACACCACGGCGGCCACAGCCAGCGGCCCGGCGTCCCCGCAGAGGAAGGTGACGTCGTGACGCCGGGTCAGACACTTGAGGCTGCGGCTGACGTACTCCAGCGCTCTCTGGAGGAAGGCGAAATCCTTAAAGATGTTGTGGAGGTGCAGGTAGAGCAGAGCGATGCCTGCAGACGAGCGGATGTCTCGTGTTAATGTCGCAAACGTGAGAAAGCGAGCATTAATGAATGAAGCAAGGCTGCACACTTGGTCACCTACAGAAGAATCTCATCTCAGAATATGCGCACATGTTTAGTGAAATGGAAATATTTGGAAATAACTGTCACGATAAAGCAATTTTTTGAAGCAAAAATGCTAATTTCCAGCCACTAAAATGAAAATACAGTCGTGACTCGATGATCCGACACTAAATGTGAAACCTTTTATGTCGGATTGTCAAGACGGAGGTCGAGATACGAGGAGGGCTTGATGCTGGAAGGCTCATTTGGTAATATTTATTGTTCATAGTTGTTATAATAACTAGAGTATTGTTAGTACACTACGCATCGCTGGATTTCACGCCTAATTAACCGGTGCAATTGTGCACGTTCCAGCCACTTCCACCCCGTCGAAGCGCTCCCTCAGGGTGGAAGTGCCAGAACACAGAGGTAGAACTTGGCTGCTGATGCCAGTTTAGTTACAATCATACTTCTGTTTCCACCATCGGCGGTGGTGGGGGAGCGACAGATACGCTCCACCGTTTCCATCCATGTTTACTTCCATAAACACTGAGCACGCTCGCTGCGTGTGACGTCGTCGTGTCCTCTTCTGCGCATGCGGGACACTTTTGGGTCGTATGAAGTTCACACAGCAGATCACATACAAGTTGTGTTTAATTGGAAACGTGAAAGAACTCGCAAAAAAAACGGATTTCACAAAAAAATCCGAATCGAGCATTAAGTCCTGCAGTGTGAACGTAGCCAATTTGTGAGATTGTTCAGTCAGATAATACACTGTTATCCTGATTGGTGACATAAAATGTCATGTTGGAGTCGGAATCCAAGGCTGTCGATATGTTAAGGCTGTTTTTATGGGTTCCGTTCGTTTTTTCCTAAAAATCTGTCGGATAGCAAGGTTTAGGATTGTTAAGGGTCGGGTTATCGAGTCACGACTGTATTTGCTAGATTTGCTAATTTTATAAGATTGTGGAGAAAATATTTGAGTAAATTATGTTTGGGTTGTTGCGAAAATTCCTCTGTATATCAAAGTAGAAGGTTTTCTCCTTGAACTAATCCCTTCAAACGTAACTCTACACTATTTTTTCCTTCTAAAATTTGCAAATCTATGAAGTCAAACACTGTAAATCGACTCTTAGCTGCACAATGGCATCAATTTTTGAATCTCAATGTGTTTTTTAAAAATACACATTGCTGTTTCAAGGTTGTCTGCTAATTTCACTGACGTGTCCAGCATATAAAAACACCATATGGACATGTAACAAGATTAAAAAAGGAAGATTTTCACCAGATGGGGCCTTAAAGAAGTCAATTTTAGTTCTGGAAAATTGCAGATTTTCTTATTATCCAAACCCAAATGACAGCAACAGTTCAAATCAGATGGAAAAAAATAAAACGTCACAAGCCTTCACGTACACTTTGTGAGGGCAATTTGGTGGCGTCTGCAATCACAAGTGCAGCCTTACTTCTTTGCCATTAAGATGCCACACAGTCACATCCACGCAATTTCTTGCAATCAGTCATATATGCCAGTTGTGTAATCCTGTCATCACCTGCCCAGCCTGTGTAAGTAGTGCAATCTCTTGGATCAGCAGACCTCAGCCCATTTTCCATGACAGCTAAAAGCTCACTGACCTTGCTGCTCAGCTGCTGGGCAAACTCTGATGTGAGCTGAAGGTAAAGAATAAATAATGAGCCGCACTTTGAAACACACGCGCAAACACCTGACGTACACCTTCCTTCGTACATTACCTTCCCATGCGAGTCAAACAACGCATGTGTGCACGCAGGACTCCCATCGTAGTCGGGATACGGATTCCTCAAGGCTCTTGTGTCCATTTTCCTCCTTTACTGCTGCTGCTGCTGCGCTGCTTTATAACTGGGTCGGCCGGAAAATAACCTGCAGAGAAAAGAGGCAATATAAGACACAGAGGAGGCGAGTGAAATAGAAATTAAGCTTAAAATAGAAAGCTGTTAATCTTGCAACACGGAGTATGAAGCCACAAAACGCAGCAAGCCTGTAGTGCGGGAGTACACACACCCACACACCAACTAATGACAGCTTAGCTCGCTTCTAGCTAGCTTAGCTTAGTGGCTAAAGCTAGCCGCTAACCCTCGCAGGCACGAAACGCGTCGTGAAAATGCACTGAAATGCATTTGGATTTAGAAATACGACACATTTTTTAAAAGCTACAGGCTGCCGTTAAATTTTCACATGGGCAGGTACCTTTGCAGGAGGCTTCTGTGTTGATGCTAACTCTTCTTCGTCTCTCCGAACGGGATGTTAGCAGTAGGCTAGCTCGCTACTGACATCTCCTGCTACGGAAGTGGAACTACAGCTCCCGAGCGAGGACAAAATAGGTAGAACGTAAGCGAAAAAATGTCAAAAACGAAAAGTTAAGGCAAAAAATAATATTGAAATAAACAGCAGAAACAACAAAAAAATTAAACAAGGGCAAAGTAAGGTGCAAAGAACTCAGAGTAAAGTGGATAAAGCAGGCAAGTTTATTTCTATAGCAACATATCATTGCACTTGAAGTTATTTAAAGTGCATTAAAGGTAAATGTAAAAAATAAAATAAAAGTAACACATGGTAGGATAAAATACAAAGCAAAATAAAATTAAATTAATAAAATTCAATAAATAAAATTGGACAGGCAAATTGAATAAAGTGCACACAAATTTTATAGATTAATTTCAAGAGACAAAAGACTAAATAAAATATAAAATAAAATGTTGCAGTCATTTTCCAAACAGAAATAAGAACAAATAAGAACACAGAAAGCCTCAAAAACCATTAAAATATTTTTTTTAAATTTTGTTTTCATATTATAGTCAAAGGTTTCCACAGAGGGGATTTCTCTTCCATTTTTATTTATTTTTTTTGTTATTCCATAAATAAGAAAATACCGTTAACAGCCATAGAAAATCAATTTCCATCATGTTTTAAGGGTTAAAATGTTTTATAAATCAGGCTGCGGCTGCTGTATGAACAAACTCCTCCCTTAAAACCTTCAGAATATATGTAGGGGAAGAAAACTGGTTTATGTAAGTGCTACTGAAGTGGAGATGTCTGGCTCAGATTATGAGAAGAAAGTCAGCTTTAAAGAAATGTATAAAAATGTAAGTCTACAGAACCAAAGAGACATTTTCCATTCATCTGAAAAACATACTTGAATTGAAAACTTCATATATTAAACAACAACATGTTAAGATGAGTCCTCTTCAACTTTATTAAAAAAGACAGAAAGCTCCTGAATCTTAATGTGGAATTGTTTTGTCAAATTGTCTCCAAGACCTATGCTGAACTTTGGTGCTTAACAACTTAATTTATGTCCTAACCTCTTTCAAGGACTATATTTACAAGAAGTAAACACTATTTTACACATTAGAGGTGATTCTGAGTCCACAAACTGTTCACTTCCATCTCTTTGCTTCAGAAAAATGCAAATCCTCACTTAGTCATGAGAAATACTCAGTCAACTCAAACCACCTCTTCAATTCTGTAAAGTTCAGCACTTTCTTTCTCCCCCGTATAAAACATACCTCCCTAACCTACAGTATATTCAAAGCAGAAATCCAAGAGTCTCTCAGCTCTCCCTTGAGGCTTTGAAAAGCTGCGGTTCAAAGGATCAGCAGCGAATCGAAGCTGATTTTAAAACTCTGAGGCACTTTTTTTTTTTTTTTCAAAAATAGGAGAATATATGTGACATATGAGGATTTATAGTCATGTTTGAGGCCTCCATACAGTGCTGGGTATGCAGATGAACACTGACGTAGCAGATAAATACAGCCAACAATGTATGGAGTTGCAGATCTGCTCGGTGCTCTTAGTTTTAATTGCATCTGTTAAGTTGCGTCCCAGCTCCATTAGACACAGTTTAACTTGGCCACCTGATGAATAAATGATATATCATCGTCGTCAGGGGGATGTTGTGGTGAAGATTGCTCTGATCAGAGGTTGTCAGGGAACAAATCAGAGGCAAAAAAATCCCTCCTGGCGGGAAAGCATCTCGTCGAATTTGTCTTGAAGTGGCGGTTTATATCCCGACTGATGTGGAACTTTTGCAGATTGGCCTCCTTCAGGACATAATGTTCCCTTTGGAGCCCAGAACGACTCCTAATCTCGCACTTTAGCCAATCAGCATGAATGTCCCCTCCGATGCTTTACGGTAATCATGCAATCACGGTCGTCGGTGGGCACACTGCGGCTAATCTGTCCCTTTTTTTTTTTTCAAATCTGACAACATACATGCTGGCGACGAGGCGGATGCAGCGCTGGTTAATCCACGCTGGCTGCCATGGAAACATCACGTGCCATCAATCTGCAGTTTGACCTTCTGCAAAGCCCAAAACAACATGTTATTCCTGCGGATGGTGATGATAATTACCGTAGTCGCGGAGGGGCCGGTATTGATTGGTGCGCCGCTGGGTTCCACATCTCACGGCCGCGCAACCTCCCAACGTTCCTGACTGGTGCGACTGAGGAGGGAATTGTTGTGAAAGAAAACGGGCTACAACTACTGAAGGACTTTGATTACTCTCTAAAATAAAGATCTTAACACTGATCTCTAATTAAACCATATTCTGGACAAATGAACATTAGTCTCACTTCAGAAGGTTCACAAAAGAGGGAAAAGAAAAAGCACATTTTTCCACACTGATAATCCTTTGTGACTACATTTCGCAGCCTGTTTAAATATGTTTTTTTGATAATACTTCTAATGCTTTTGAGATAAGTTCGCCTTGAAAAGTTTATTCCCCACTCATTTTAACTTCATGCAACATTTTCTGAGTTACTCATGTGCAGGATGGTTTGTTGTGCTTCCCATCTTGATGACTTGTGCAACCTTGTCTTGGGAAAAGTGCAAATGAAGCGCACAATTAGACGAGCCAGATTTGCTTCAGTCATCACTGTCAGTCTTTTATTTTTTTGCTCCATCATTTCCCCATTCAGGTTGGAGGAATTTGGCTCCTCATCATTTCCATATCAATTGACCGGGCTGCAGGTGAAGGCTGGTCGTGCGCTTTTTTTTTTCGCTCGTACACCTCGGGACTGCTTTACCTTGCCTTGAGGGACGGCGGATGGAAATGAGGCCGAGAATGCGACAAGATTCAGGAGGCGAGACCTTCGGGCTTGATGAGAGCGTCTTGTTGAAAGACATTATCGAGCCGCGTTGCCCTCCCGCCGTGCTGCTGGGAAAACTGCCTTCATAGAGCAAAAAATAAATAAATACAAGCAATATTGATCGGCTTTTTTCTTTTTCCTACCACGAGACAACATCCAAACTGAGAGCAAATCATATATAACTGCGTTAGAGATGATTGCTGCGGATTTAAAGTCCCACTCCAGTCATCGATTTAACCCAAAAAAAATTCATCTCCATGTATCAAAATGACAAATTTAGAAGCGACCTTAAAATGGGTTGGATGAAACTCTACTTCATTGATTCCTCTAGAAGCCTGAACCCGTGAAGGGGTTGGTTCTTTAGGTATATGTTGCTCATATCAAAGAGCACACCATGTGGACATATAGACAAAGTATAAAGCTGGATTTTCACCAGAAGAGGCCTTTAAAGGATTGGGATGCAGAAGTTTTATACCATTTCTTATTATAAACCAATGCTATAAAAAGATTAAAGCCAACAGCGGTGTAGTCAAAGTTGTGGTTTCCCTTTTTCATGGATTGTCCAGCAACACTTATAAACTTGACTACGGCAGCTTGTTAGGAGCCTTGCGGTGTTATTTAGCTAAATCCTAACATGACAATGTTAACATGTTAAGCAGGTGTAATGTTTATCGTCTTAGTTTAGCGTCTTAGCATGCAAACGACTGCTAATCAGCAGATCTGAGGTCAACATGAACTCACTGATGTATGACGAAATACCTGCAAAACTAAAGAATTCGACAATTTCACATTTTGGCCAGAGCTGCCGTGATTAGTTGTTGAGTTTTGATGATGTTTTGAGTAATTTAAACAATCAAAACCCTCTGTTTCCATCCATCCATCATCTATACACCGCTTCATCCTCATTAGGGTCATGGGGGGCTGGAGTCTATCCGGGGGGACACCCTGGACAGGTAACCAGTCTATCACAGGGCCACACTTAGAGACAGACAACAACTCGCATTCACACCTACAGACAATTTACAATCACCAATTAACCTCAACATGTTTTTGGACCGTGTGGGAGGAAGAACCTGGAGAGAACCCACGCTGCACGGGGAGAACATGCAAACTCCGCACAGAAAGATCCCGGGTGTCCTCACTGGGATGCGAACCGGTGACGTTCTAGCTGCGAGGTGCTAACCACCGCTCCACCTTGCAGCCCCCTCTGTTTCCAGCTTGTTATCTTGTCTTTATTCTTCTATGAAACTAAACTGAATGTCTTTCGAGGACGCTATTCTGGGCTTTGGGAGACACTGATCGACACTTTCCATCATTTTCTAGACCAAACGACTTGTCAGTGAACAAACCGCGATCGAAATCAATCGACAAACAGTAGCGGCACTACGTTAATGATCACCAAAGTCACAACATGTTTCATCTCACAGCGCTTAACATAGTAAAGTGAAGCCCTTACACATTTTAAACAAAGAACCCAACAATCCAAAGTTTGGACTCCATCTGAGCAAGCATTTGGCAAAACGTCCAACAGAACCAGGCTGAGGAAAGGCAGCCATCTGCCTCGACCGCTTGGTGCGAGAACAAGTTTCGGTTATCGTCTTAGCTTAGCGTGTTAGCATGCAAACGGTTGCTAGTTAGCAGATCTGAGGTTGACATGAGTTTCACTGATTTATGATGAAACACCAAAACTAAAGTATTCGTTTGACATTTTGAGCTGCTAGTTTTCAGATTAATAACCAACAATTCTGATAATCAGTGAACTGTTTTGGGTAATTAACCCTAACGCTAGTGTGCAGCTTCTTCGATTGTCTTTATTCTTCTATGACAGTAAACTGGATATCTTTCGATTGCAGACAGAACGAGACATTAGAGGATGCTATTCTGGGCTTCAGGATTTTTCGCCATTTTCTCGATCAACCGACTTGTCGACAAACAATCGGCGATCGAAATCAATTGATAAACATCAGTGGATCAGCAAAGCCAGTCGAATATATCACATAAGAGTAACATGAAGCGACATAAGTGTTGATATCTCAGTAGAAAAATCCAAACTTGGATCCGATTGTGGAAGATTTCAAGGCGACGTACCCAGCGGCTGTCGAGACGTTTTGCTAAATGTGCAAAACCGTCAACATCACAGTGAAGGTCAAGACGGACTCATTTAGATGTCT